ATAAAAACTAACTTCATAAGAATAACAAGTGATGGACTAGGAATTTGTACATCTTAAGTTTTTTTAGTTGCTTTAAATCGACTCTATGAAACCCTTTCTTAATTGACTGACTGAGATAAAATTCTGCCATGCCCTCTAGTAGTTTCACCCCCCTCCCACCCAGCTCGAGTATGAAACCCTCATCACTCATGCCCCTGATGACCAAGACTCTTTGTCGCCCTTGTGTGTACAATATTTGGATTCCGTTTTAGAATATACCCAGCTGAGCTTTTCCTCACTTGTGTTAAGGAGTCTTATCTGCGAGTCAGAGTTCACATAATGTTGTTTTTGGAACCTTTGTGTATGTTGGTGTACTGTACATAACTTGTGTGTATGTTGGTGTACTGTACTGTACATAACCTGTGTGTATATTGGTGTACTGTACTGTACGTAACTTGTGTATATGTTGGTTTACTGTACATAACCTGAATGAAAGGATTAAAAGATTATATAGTGTACAAGACTTACTAAACACAACCTCATTCTGGTGCACAGTGGAAGAATAAAGAGAACTGTATAAAAACGACAAAAATTGCCAATAAAATAAATAAGAAAGTAACACAGTACTGTACATCACAGCCTCTTACTGACCCAGTGCCCCACAGAATTAGCAATAATACTCGATGACAGTCATTCACGTTAACCAGCAGCTTTAGGCTAATTATTCTATAGAAGACAAATACATTCTTACCTCATAAAAAGTATTTACCCGTATCTAAAAACCGTGAGAATAAATTTTTCTTTATACTGTTTGTTTTAAGATTTTTGCAGTGGGTGAAACTAAATCCGTCCCAGGCGAAAACATTGGAGCTATTACGTCCTCGCACGCAGCTGTGCACAAGTTTAGGACGGCACCCACACAGTCACTACATAGAGAATAGATAATAAAAAAAATAATAAATATCAAGAAACATCTTATTCAAGCTTTGTTCATTAATCTATCATTATATTATTTTTAATAGAGTAAACATTATATCAGTGAGTGGCAACATACAGTAAAGAATAATGATAGTAATATAACTACTGTAGCTGCAATATAAACGTTTAAATAAAAATTTTAATAAGTCAAGATTATACTGTAAAACTACTACAGTAAACAAATTACTAAAAGAACATCATATCATTACAAACAACTGTACAATATAATAAATAGCTATAACTCAAACTTAGTCTACAACATAAATCTCATTCTCATCTAATTAAACTGTACAGGAAAGGAAAAATTCAGATGTCTTCATGACCCACCAGTACAGGTTACTAAAACAGTCTTATGCCAGTTTAGACACCCTAACATGTCCTCATTGTAAAGAGGGATTAAAATATCCTCCGTGAATCTGTTTGTTTTTTTTAATTAGTACTCTAGTGTTTGGTAAACCGGTACAGTAAAACAATCTTTATACAGTTTGGTTTCCCATCATCATTGTACATATTTTCTCTACTGTATATGAACAACACTTGACTGGTCAGTAGTCATGAATACTTGACCTTCTTTCACCTGTACACACTTCTGTATAGTACATGCAGTAGTCCATTATTCCCATCCTCCATTGTACCTCAGTCTGTGTTTATGCCATCAACATAGAGTACTGCATAGTATTCTTAGTCATGCTTGTGATGATTACCGTCATGTACATTTTCTCCAGACGTCTTAACCAGCTTGGCAGTCCTGTGTTTACAAGAGCACAAATCTGTAATGTAATGTACAGTCCTGTTGTCTCTTCTGCTGTTCCATGATCTCTGAGATTCCGACTCATGAACCCAAAACTTTATGGACAAAATAATACATTGGTGTCTACTGCTTGGGGCTCACGAATCTTAATCTCGGGGTTCATGGAACAGCAGAAGAGGTGATTGTACATTATACTTTTCTCAACTTTCATGTTACCTACTCTCCTCTCTCCAAGCTGTACGACCAATGTTAAGAAAATCCACCCAGTCTGCTGTTGCACTGCCAGCAGTGACGAAGGTACAGATCCATCTATGTATCACCAGTAGGGCTCACACTACTCTCTTTAAAATCCCAACAATTTATCATATCTACGTACCTATGAAGTTCCCATCCCTTATGGAGGTCGTCTCTGCTATGGACTGTAAACAGGTGAAAGGCTGCGTCTATGGTAACTTTCCTTCCCTACCCATCAGTGTTAGCCAGTCCGTGTCCTGCTTTGTTAACTCTATAAATGTTCAATACACATTCCTGCATTGTAGTGTTGTCTCTCATGATGTTATATGTAGGTCCTCCTTCTTTATCTCTTCTTTGAACAGCTTTTAATTTCTTTAGTTTCTTTTACTCTTCTGTTTATTATATTTATACATTTAGCATGCTTGTGTAATGTGTTATTGTACATATTACAGAACATACATTCTTTGAATGTTTTACTGTTAATATAATGGTAAAGTTGCTGCATCCATCCATTTATCCACCCACCCACCCCTCCACCCCTCCATCCATGCATATACTGTACAGTACTGTACTTTGACATAATATGCAAAGACTGTAAGACAGGTGTCCTCTGTGAAAAGATTAACTTGATGTTTTGCATGAGAAATAATACTGTACAGCAGTGGTATTCAACCTGTAGTTGGCACACCCACTGACCCGTATTATGGAGTCCACAAGGGTTTATTAGAAAATTTTGAAATAATTGGGATTCTTTGTCAGAGTGAAAATATGTAATAACTTGATACAACTTTAGAGAGAAACTTTGTGTGTTCTGAATCAGTCATGTACAGGATGTGTGTATTTACCACAGACTGGGCCCAGGGAGAGAGAGCTAGACTTGTGTAACTGTATACTGGATATATATATATATATATATATATATATATATATATATATATATATATATATATATATATATATATATATATATATATATATATATATATATATATATATATATATATATATATATATATATATATATATATATATATATATATATATATATATATATATATATATATATATATATATATATATATATATATATATATATATATATATACACACACAGTATTACCCCGCTTTACGCGGTTTCACTTAACGCGATTTCTCATATACGCGGTGCCTCGCCAGAACCGAACTTTCACTTAACGCGGTTCATCTACTCATATACGCGGGAAGCAGCGCGGGCACGATGCGCACAAGGTCGCCCAGTCATCAAAACATTACCGAGTTCTTCACCCGCCACCCACCACAGCTGGCCCAAGTCAGTGATAGTGGTAATTATAGTGAGGATATGGACTTATATGGCCTTTGAGGGGTTTGACAAAGAGGCCCTGCAAGCCTCTGTGGTGGATAGTGATACAATTGATACAAGTGATACAGGTGAGGGCCAATAATCTGACCTCTGCCTCAGAACCAACCCCCCATCCCCTTGTGCCCAGCCATCTTTTCTACTAATGTAAGTGTTAAAAAACCTAATATTATTGATATTTCTCTTAATTATTAATTGTGTGTGCATACCATCATAAAGTTAAGATAATATTTTTACTACAACATAGTTGTGTGTCATCAAAAAGTGGAGTTTGGGGGTCGGGCCAGTCTCTATTGGAATTAATCCCATATGTTCTGTTGTTCACTTAACGCGGTTTTTCATAACGCGTAAATACTTGCGTATATATATATATATATATATATATATATATATATATATATATATATATATATATATATATATATATATATATATATATATATATATATATATATATATATATATATATATATATATATTGAATGTAGATCCAAAGTTTTGGTGCCTTCCACTATACTATTTACAATGACAAATGTGGCTGAGAGCCTACAAAAGGTTGGGAACCACTGGTGTACAGTATCTATATTGCTTGCATGTACATATTGAACTGGTATAATGTACAGTACTGTACCGTACATTGTTGTGCAGTGTTTGTTTAGTCATGCAGTATGCATGATGATGTGAATACAGTACTGTAGTTGGTAAATATTGTTTTTGTTTTTTTACTGTAGTTGCCATTTATGATATATAAGTACAGTACTGTACTGTCATAAATTAGAGATTGTGTGACTGATTATAATTTCTGTGTTAATATTTAGTTTAATTGTAATTTTGTTAAATAGACTGAAGCAATATGTTTCCCCTGCTCACTATGAACAGAATATAGTACCTTAGGAGTCAGTATTACTGACAATTTACCTATTCACACTGAATATATCTTTAACCACCCTGTGTACAGAGTTCTCTCTCTGCTCAATAAAATCATATGACATTAGCTAAATAAACTGTTAATAGTGGTGGGGTTAAGATGGAAAAATAACTTCAAAGTATTATATTAAACTAATGCATGACAATACTTAAAGAAAGGGCCTTGTGTTTACCAACGTGACATCACAACTCGTTTAGTAACTGCCTTAGTCAATTTCTGCAAATTGTAACAGTTGCTGAGGAAGTTAGAAGGAAGTAAAGTGTAGACAAAAGATCATGTAGAAAGATCCTTGTCAGCAGCTGGTGTTTAAGAGGAGAAATTTTGTATTAAAACAGGTAATAAAACACTGTACTAATACGGTACTGTATACAGTATAGCATTGGGGTTATATTGAGGCAATAATTTAGTACAGTAATATACTGTAGACAGAAGATAACTTAGAGACTGAGCATGGATATCAACAATCATACTTTTAATGATGAAATGTTACGTGCTGTACTCATTTCTCTTGTGGAACAAATATTTGGGGAAGATCAAGGTTGTCCACTTTTGGTTTTTAAAAAGATTTTCTGAATTAAAAATACCATACATAGTAATAAACAATAGCCAGAAGCTTACATGTAGTTAATGAATAAATGTACAGTATAGTCATTGTATATTATCATTTATTATTGGTATGACTCCATAGATAGGGGAAGCATGCTTGTTCTTGCACCAAATTCTGTTAGCAACATTGTATTGCATTACCAATAATAAATATTTTCCACGGGTAGCAAACCAGGAGGACCCGGCCATGATACGAGACATGCTGTTGGCCAACCCCGAGCAGCTGGCCCTCCTGCGGCACAACAACCCCAAGTTAGCCGAGTCTCTCCTCAGTGGGGGGATGGGTAAGTTATCCAGTGTCTTCATCTTCAAGGCTTTACAGTAGAGGATTCATATCTTTGCTCTGGCACCACAGTACAGCTGCCCAGGATGAAATTTAGCCAAATATGAAGTATTCGGCGGAGGGCATCATATAACAATTATTTTTGTTATGGTCCTCGTGCCTCGAGTATTCGTGATCTCATCGAGAAGCTAAACTGAGGCTGACTACGTACTGTACTTTACATGCTTTATGCCTTTTCTTTCTCATTCTCTTTTCCATTTTATAAAAGACTTAAAACTACTGTAGTAATGTCTTTTTAATTATGAAACAAAGAATAATTGATTCTTGTACAGGTATCCCTCACTTAACAAATGAGTTAGGTTCCTGAAAACCATTCATTAGGTGATTTTTAGGTACGTATCTCAATTAACAGAACAAATGGGAAAAATAGAGTTTGGTTCCCAGACGACAAGAAAACACCAATATTATACCCAAAAACATTAAATTGGTTCACGAACAACAAAAAACCTACTTAATTATTGATAAATATTATACAACTACCCTGTACTGTAGTTTACTGCCGAACACATTAAAAACATTATTAAAAAACTATAGATGAAAATAGGCAGTTAACACCATTAAGGAAAAGCTAAATGAAAGCTTAACACAGCCACCATATGCATAAGACACAGCTGTCCTGCCTCAACACTCACCAAGCTAGGACGCTGCCTGTGCCAACCCTTAGCAACTGGGCTATCCGCCACCCCACTTATTGTACTAACTCTCGCACTCAAAGAATTGTTTATTCCCTTTGTTTTTGGCCTTATAATAGTTTTTTTTCTGCACATTATGTATGAAGGATTGTGTGTGTGTATGTAACTAGGGGGGAGGATATAATAATAGTAATATCTCCATTAGCCAGAATCCCTCAAATCCGGAACTCTCTGATAGCCGGAATTGAAATTTTCTCAGAAAAATCATTCTTAAAGCCAGAATTTTCCAGAAAATTCCGTCTTTGGGAACGATTTTCTGGGGGGCACGTTTTCCAAAAAATTCTGAGAAAAGTTTCCCAATACCCGGAAAATTCCGGAGATGGCGGGAGACATTTTCCGGGTTTGAGAGATGAAAATCGGGCGCATATTCTGGAAATTCAGAGAACAATTTTCTGTTACCCGGAAAATTCCGGGGATGGGGTATTTTTTTTCAGCTTTGATAGAGTCGTCTCGTTACCAGGAAATTTCTCATTCCCAGAAGTGCTCTGCACCAATTGTTCCGGCTAACGGAGATATCAGTGTAATAATACAGTAGAATGTTGATTTAAAGCAATTCAATTTAAAATTATTGATTTAAATCGACACCCACAATCAAGTACAAAGTATTAATTTAAAGCGAATCTTTCCTATTTTACGGGAGTCAATCTGGCGCATCATATGGAAATACACACTATTTTAAATTTGCTCCTAATGTTTACTGCTAAACGCGTCTCTGGGCACACTACACGGCTGCCCGCCACCCTCCCACACCCTCAGTTCTCGTACTGACGCTCTAGTGAACGGACATATTGTGTGACACTATCTCCTTCTACCACGTGCATCAACCATCGCCACTATGTCCAAGAGGCCAGCCACTACAGTACATCATTAACTACCCCAAAGACCAAGAAATCAAGGCAAGCAATTACACTGGAGCAGAAAATCAAAGTGCTGGAAGCACTGCAGCTAGGAAATGGTGCTTCAAGTGTGGGGCGCCAATTTGGATAGTGATGTGGATAATGAGCTGGTCGAGTTGGGCTCTGCATCTTCAGAGGATGAATTGCCTAAGTAAAGTTGATTGAAAATCTATTTTTGTTAACACAAAGTAATTAAAAACTAAGTTGAGAGGAAAGTGAAAGTGCTTGGTGAGTCAGACAAGAGGTAGGTGGAGCGCGGCGCCAGCATGACCACCCTCTCACATCAGCTAATCGCTAGTAGACCATTTCGTGTCCCTTAATTTTAGCTGTGTTGATTTATGCGTGTTTTTTTTAACATAATACTACAAAAAACAATGTGTTGTTTATTCTAGGAGATGGGCTGAGGTGCATCTGGGTAGACTCTCAGTCGTTTTAGTATTTTGTGTTTCTCTCAAGTACCAAACTAAATTTTTTCATTGAAACAACACTTTGATTTAGTGCGAATTCGGTTTAAAGCGACCTCTCTTGGAACGTATCTCGTGTTATATCAGTGTTCTACTGTAATAATGAAATAAATCAAAATTATAATAAAAGATAAAATAATAATAATAAAGAACCATATATAAATACAAAAAATAAAAAAGGTCAAGAGTGAGAAATGATATAGGTATGTTGTGTTGTCAAAGTAAGAGAAACAATTGAGACCCTGCAATTGTGTGTAAATGAAGCAGAAAGTCAGATCAGCAACCTGGGACTTGGTCACAAATTTCGTGATGCCATATGGCAGCAGGGTCTACCATTAGACAACACATTATGCTTCCAATATCTTCACAGGCGGTAGTACCTCCCTGTTTGCTAGCTGCCTGCTACCTGTGGCAACAATGTTACTTGTAACACTTAATAAGCACACCACCAACATCAGCTTCAAATTCAAAGAAATGAGGGCTCACCACAAGGGGTCAGGAATGGCAGAACACAAGACACAGGTAGATGTTGGGTTGTTATAATCAGTGAGTGAGATTACTTCACTGCGCATATCTCAAAGATGGCTCCTCCAGCTGACTCCTGGAGGCGTGTGATTTGAATTTTTGCTTGGATCAAAATTCATATAAGTGAGGGTAACTTTCCTTAAATTAGGAAATTTGTATAAGCAAATTATCTTGTCTCTAACATCTGTAAAGCTAAGGATACCTGTACTTAAGTCTACAATGTTTCACTAGTTTCTGCTTCATAGAGTTTCTTTTCTTTTCCGGGAATTTTTATAATGACTCTCCACTTCTGTGTTATTTGTCACACCTGGTCAGATTTGCATATAGTGTTATTAAACTTTTCATGTTCAAAGCTCATAATTATCATAAAAATACAGAAGCAAATTTTTCTACTTTAATGATTATCTTGTATCAGTGGTTTAGACATCAACATATACTTGTTTGTCCTCTGTCTGGTTATGACTCGGATAATTCATTTTCAGTGTATACAGTAGTTCTCTCTCTCTATCTCTCTCTCCTCTTTCTTCTCTTTCTCATGTTCCCCATACCTTTCCATCTACCATGCCCCACATAGCAGTATTTCCTGACACACACACACACACACACACACACACACACACACACACACACAATCATCACCACTGGTACTGATGCTGTTCTTTGTACGGCAGATGACTTTGTAACTGTACTCCGGGAACAACAGGAGATGAGACGAAACCGGGAACAGCAGAGAATCAGGCTGTTGGCCGCCGACCCGTTCGACATGGAGGCCCAGCGTCTTATTGCAAGCGAGATTCAACAGGAGGTGAGAGGTTAACGGGAACTGAGTATAGCGATAATGTAGTACAGTATAGGTTGAGAAATGTGGTGGTAAATGAGATTGGGTAAGCAGTGTCTGTCATGTCTTACTTAAAGCTTAATTACTTGTTCTCCTCAACATAATACTTCCTTGAGATAAATGTACAGTATATATCAGGTGCCTACAGGAGAGCTCAGGTTCTCAACTGGCTCAGCCATATTAATATTGTTATTATTATCCACTCTGTATCTATGTTTTTCTGGCAAAATAAACTGTTTCAATTCAACTATGGTAAGAGGATCTAGTGTCCTCATATTTCATATCTGCGTTGACTCACTGGTGATGCCATAAACTAACTTGATATTGAACTTATATTGTTGGCTTAGAATTGTAGCTGTGCTTTGTTTTTAAAATGTAGTTTTTTTATGTTAGGCGCGTCTTACTAATTTAGGTATTTTGTCCATGTATTTTTTTGCACAGAATATCAACGCCAACATGGAGGCAGCCATGGAGTACAACCCTGAGAGTTTTGGTACAGTTCACATGTTGTACATTAACTGTAAGGTCAACGGCCACGAGGTCAAGTCTTTCATTGACTCAGGTTGGTGCTACTTTTTTCATTGTCATAATTCAGGTACTGGTATTTTAAATAAAACAAGTAACTGGCAGTGTACAATAATATCACATTACGGTAATTCTCACAAGTCTGTTGATTCTGTGTTGATTTTAATATTAAAATCTGGAATGTTAAATCATTTTGTCCCTGAGGCATGTGAGGAATTATTTACACTATGATGATAGTTTAAATATCATAACTCACATTGCTTTAATGTTTTTGTGGTTTCATTGTGATGTTTCAACCCAGGTGCACAGACTACCATCATGTCACAAGCTTGTGCAGAGAGATGCAACATCATGCGGCTGATGGACACAAGGTGGGGAGGCATCGCCAAGGGTGTCGGCACTCAGAAAATCATTGGTCGCATCCACATGAGTCAGATACAGATCGAGAATGACTTCTTGGCGTCCTCCTTCAGTATACTTGAAGACCAGACAGTGGATATGCTTCTAGGACTTGACATGCTGAGGAGACACCAAGTGAGTGTCATGACCTTGTTAGTGTTCTTTTATATCAGTTTCCATTCTTGAATCACCCGAAGATTATGAATTCCTGCTTATTTCACCTGATGATTACACACTCTAAACTCCTTTGTTCAGAGGGGCTGATGTGGTCACTAAACACTATATCAGAGGAGGTGGTGTATGAAGGAAGGATTGGTGTGTGTGTGTAATAATATATTAATTATTAACGGTTTATTGAAAGAGCATGGCAGCCGGAAGGCTGAAAATATACAGTTACATAATTGGGGAATGGGTCACTTGATTGACAAATAATATACAAGTAACATAAATAATACAAATATGATATATAATGACTAGATGGGGAGGTCATACTACAGGGCATTTCAACATAGAGACTGTGTGTGTGTGTGAGTGTGCACATGCATGTGTGCACATGCTCCCATCACTCAATTGTCAGCCTGCTCCCAGCTCTTCCTACTGTTGTGGAGATTAAAGGATGTACCAGGTGATTTGATGCTTGGTATAAGAAGATGTACCAGCTAAGTCCCTCTGACTCAAGGGATTAATGATTATTGGGAGTTAGGTTGGGGTTTTTAATCATCAGGTGAATTAGCAGAGATTCCTAATCCTAATGAGATCTCCATTCTCCTCACCCCACTTTAAAGCTTATAGTATATTGTTCACCAGACACTTGATATTTACAAGTCTTCAGTTATACGAAAGATAGCAATACAATGACACAAAATTTATCACCAATGTATTTTTTTTTTTTTATGGTCACAGATGTGCATTGACTTAAAGAACAACAAACTCCACATTGGCACGACTGGAACTGTCACGAACTTCTTGGGTGAGAGTGAACTACCCGATTCTGCCCGACTCACATCACCCGACGAGGAAGAGGCTATGCAAGAGTCTGAAAAGACAGCCAAAGAGTTGGACGATCGTGTGTTAGCGGAGGCTCTTGCGGCCAGCTCTAAAAATACTGATGGCAATCCTTCAACCTCCGGAACAAATATGGGTTAGTTTATTGCGAGTTTGTGTTTACAAACAATAAATAGGAGAGGAGGGAAGAAAATAGTATAGATAGAATGAAGAGTAATTACAGGCAGAGATTACAAGCAGATCGTCCTTCTAAGTTTTGAATACGTATTAACCCTTAAACGCCAGCTAAGGATTCCCTGCTCCGCCCCCCTATATGTGTAGAGGCAACACAAGGGAGATGGCAAAAACACTTGTACAATTTCCCTTCATCTGTACTCAGAATATTTAAATGGAATAATTGTCTCGTATTAAGTGATCTGTACGGTCACTATTCCTATAAAGTGATGGTTGCGTACCTGAAGCACACCGCCTTATGGAAAAATATTGTATTAACAGTTGAATCAATGGGAGTTAAGGGGTTAGGAGGTCGTAGGGTGGAAAACACCAACGTGACTGCCATTTTGCTTTACAATTTGTTATGTTATTGTTAATTTTTTGTTCTTTTATAATAACAGTGTTTTAGTTAGTCTATGTTGGTGAGTGACGGAAAAGTAGCCGTCAAGAATGGTGAAGAGGGAAAATGATGAAATTGCTGGACTGTGACTCTCTTAACAACTTTTAATGATAAATCCTTTTTAATTTAAACTATTTCTAGCAACAGTACAGTATACCAAATGTGAATATACTTGTAAAAAATTACAGTCCGTGATAACACATGTGATGAGTAGGCAGGCTGGAAAAAGACTAAGGTATATAGAGTAATATAACTTGGGTTGCCAAGTCTGAATTTCCTGTCATTACTGGAACTGTCAAGACTCAATTCCATATCAAGTGTTTCATTACCAGTTTTATCGTACAATATAGCAAAACTTTTTATATTTATATTAAGGAAAACAGCAATTAGCCTAATAGCATACCTTTATATACCTGAAGTGGAGATAAAGTTGTTTACACTGAATCAGTAATACCTCAGTCATACAGGGCAGTGAAATCATCAAGTTCACTTCTTATGATCACATATGTTAACTGTGAATTTATTCAGGGTAAATACAGTACCAAATCATTTCAATTCATTACCAAGTAGCCTCCGTGGGCAGCATCTAGAAGTGTTCGCCAGCATCCCACCTTGTGTGATGCTATGCCCAGGCAGCTGCACACACCCACTTATTCCTACTTGTGTGACATAGTTATGTTTACACAATAGCATTACTGTACAGTATATCCTTTTCACATCCTTGTTGTATTAAATGTGTTCACTATATACTTTTAATGCATTATAACCAATTTATGTTATAAATAACACATTATAGGGAACTGACTACAGTATACTCAGAACATTTAAAAGGTATAATTGTCCCATATAAAATTATTTGTACTCAAAGAATTTAAATGATAAAAAATGTGTATTTATTCAGCAGCAGAGGAACAGAAATCGTCCACCTCCGCACCATCACCATCTCCACCACCCAAGGCTGCAGCTTCACGACGGACGGCGTATCCGAACAAGACAACTTCTCAGATACCGACGTTCAAGAAATTGTACAAATAGGATTTACCAGAACACAAGCTATTGAGGAATTGGAGACAGAATGGCAATAAAACCTGCAATCGCCGCTTTTTGTGAAGTCGTTAAAAATGTAGTGTAGTACGGAACTGATGAATACTTTGGTTAATAATAATTTAGGTGCACAGAAGTTGAGGGATATTAATGTATTGCTGTAAATTATTGAGTACAGTATATATTCTTTACTGGTTCATGTTAGTGATTCATTACAAGGATTATGTACAAGTCTCTTTTGGTTCTTTATGGCATTTGCTAATGGTAGGGTAATGGGCCCAGCGTCCACAGCTCTGGCTGCTGTCATATTCTGTCACATGCTAAATGGTAAGGCCAAGTGTGCTCTCCCCCTTTTTACATTTATACTGTCTTCTTCACCCGTGCTCAACATGGTTTTACTTATAAAAATTTAAGTTTTTTATACAATAGAACAAAGTAGATTATTTCAGCATTTTTTATCAAACGTATAGTATAACAATTCTGCATTTTTATCGTTAGTATATTGGTTTATTTATATTTTGTGGTTCACTTCAAATTACTAAATGTTCACAGAGCCTCGTTAATTATGCAAATAGATTTACAAGTACTGAATTTTTTTTTACATTTCAACTATACTGTACATACCTTGGTAGCATAAGGGATGTGTGAGGTAGCTTCAGTACTGTACAGTATTTACAAAAGTCTGCTCATTGGTGGGTAACAACATGCATCTGAGGATACTTTTATTTCTTTACAGTCGATTCATTGAGCTATACTTGTGTGCAAGGTTCGTGGATGGTGCTTTACTCTATTGGCATAAACAGTACACTACATAACTATGAACATCTCCATTGTAAATATCGCTTTTGTTAATATAAACCCAAATATTTAGATACCCTCGGCTTTCTTTATCATCACCATGCATTGCTCTCCCCCTGGTCGTCAATGCCAGGCACCGACGTCTTTTGAAGGTAATGTGGAACAAAACAAACGAGCAATTATCTCGACACCAAGACTATTTAATTACTCGCCTTGTTCCAATAATGTGATGACAACAGTTTTTAAATAATTGATACCTTAATTGCTTTGCTAAGTTGGTTAAGTGAGAATATAAGTGAATGAATGAAGAGAGAATGGGTAGTAAGTTGGTTGGAGAGTATAAGTGAATGAATAGAAAGAACACTTTTTAGAGTAAAGACACAGACTCCTCTAGGTATTACATAAGCCAACATCTGTCAAGCATTGGCTGAAGAACTGATGAAAAAATAAATGATACTCTCCTCTTTGAATGGAAGAAATATTTTAGAGGGTAACATTAATAATTTTAAATTAGAAGCAAAATTTAGTTAGTAATTTGGGGGATTTCAAACAACTTTATTTGACAGGATAATTTTTACAATAATGGAACAAAATAGAAGACTCCTTACCCAACCTTTAGCTAACAAAAGAACAGGATAGAGAGAGAGAGGGACCAGATCTATCCATACTAGGGAAATGTCTTTAAAATCTAATAGTGAAATATATTGAATTTATAGAAGATCCCAAACATGAAGGAATTAAATTAAACTGAGTTCATTCAAAAATACAAAAACTCATCCATACAGGAATGAGATACAGTACATAGTGTTAATTGTCATCATATTCAAGAGTAAAGAAGTACAGGTATATATTACAGTATCCTCTCAGAATCAAATTGAATCACCTGAAGATTAACCTCCCAACTTATTTCACCAGAAGATAAAACACCCTAATGCTACACAGGGAGGGAGGGGGTATCTACACGTGAAATAAGCTGGGGTGGCAAATCTTACAGGTGATTCAATTTTATCCAATCGAGCTATTTCAACAGAGGTTTGTGAAATTCTATTGGAAATTGTTGTCCGAGTTCCATTTTACAAGATTTATGGTCACAGAAAACATCACAATGCTATACCCTTAGTCAAGCTCATTAGGGTGATATGCAAATGACAATTATGATATTAACTGAAAATAGTAATTGAATTGGATCACTATTTAAGATGGGATAACAACGATATCAAAACTTTAACTATTTAAAGGGTAAAATACCTAAAGCATTAACCACGAATGGATAAGTAACCTGACTTCAACTACCTGTACTTTAACCATATCGGGTTTTTGGACACAAGCATTGGAATGTAACCAAAGAACTTGAACAGACAACCTAGATGACCCAGCACATTCAGGGTAGATCAGTAATGGAGTGTTGTGTGTGACAGCAGTGGACCGGTTGGCTGGCTAGCACTCTGCCCACAGACGCCAGGAGTACTCTTTAGAAAGTTGTTAGTCTTGAGGGTGTTTTAACCTTCCCTCCTCCACCTAGCATCCCCAGTCAGGGAAAATAGGTCATGTTACAGCAAGTGAAAGATACTGTACTGTTGAGATTAATTTATTTAAAGGTTCTTCAACTTGCTAAACACGTCAGTCTTATTTAAATTAAAATAATGTTATTGTGAATTTTTATGCTTTATAAAGAAATTTTTAATGTATGGATAATTTTATATTTACAAAATTGAGGAAAATAAAAAAAAAGATACCCATAGTTATATCTACGGAATAATGAACTTGATTAAACCTATTTCACAGTATAAAGAATATTTATCTTATTTTGGCTATAAAAAATAATATCAATAGCACCATCCTTAAAAAACTAAATAAAACACAAAAATGTCTTCATATTATTAAGTATAGAAAATGGACTTATATTATATTTATTATTTTCTTTTAGTTCATATTTGGATTAATTTTTACTAACGTTATCTTGACCTGATTTAGAAAGTTTCCTAAATAGAGGAAAAATAATTAAGTACCTGTTTAATATAGAAAGTTCTTGAGTTGAAATGTATTATAACAGGAAACTAAACATTTAACTCAATTTCCCGGATAATTATTCATATTATTTTTATAAAGATTGAAGATAAATGTTCGATTACTATATAGAATGTATAATAAAGGTTCAATGTAAGAAGGAGTAAGAGGAATTAAAATAGACGAGGCCAAGACATAGGAAGAAAGTGGAGGAGGAGAAGGTTCAGTCGCCCGAGAAAGTTCAGTCTATATATTCCACCGGACGCTTCCTTATATTGAACACCTATTTTATAAGATTTATATAGCTTATTTATATGATACACCTATACTAAAGCTGAATACATTAAGCAAGGTACTGGACACTTCCTTCAATGTGGGTACCAGCTTATACCAGACTGCTCAAACTCAAGTGTGGTTAGATTAGGTTTGGTATCGTTGGTTAGGTTAGGTTTGGTCGTTAGGGTTAATGAGGTAAGATAGTAGGTATTAGGCAGCTACCAAACAGGGAGGTACTGGGAAGATATTGGAAGCATAATGTATTGTCTAATGGCTGTCATGGTAAGAAATAATTTAGCTCCGTAGCCTCCTGAACTAATCATATTATCAAGTCCTCTTCGGCACTACGGACGTTAACTTAAATATTTCATCTATCCCAACTTTACTATAAATTAAACTAGAATCTATAGTTTAAGTTTATTAGGTATGGATAGTTTATTTAGTCGTCAGTAATGGTTTTAGGTACGTAGTCTCCTTGCCCAGGTGACTTACAAGGTGTTTGACGATTCGTTGAGACACTTCACCTGATTTTCGTAAGTGTTTTATTCGATTTTAATTGTTTCTTCCACTGAAATGTTTTATATACTGAAGCAAATGTGTTAGATATCACATAGGAAAAGTTTTGGGATAATTAAGGAGGCGACCATCTCTTGCCTATAGTCAGTAATGGGTGGTTGGGTGGTTAACTTGAGAATTCGCCTCACAGTTCACCATCACACCTATAGTCTCAACCCTTCGACATATCAACTACACACACACACACACAGTTGTTACAGGATATTTCATTACTACCAAACTCGCCACAAAGCACGTCACATCCTACCCCGTCACACACACACACACACAGTCTGGTTATTTTAGTAGTTTTAATGACTCTTCATATTTATTTACCGTTAACTTTATATATAACACAACAACTTGTAAGAAAATAATTGTCAGTGTCATTTGAAGTCTGACAGCTGGGGTGAACTGAGGACTGACGAGTTATGTGATGATGCCCCAGTGACCCTGCGCTCTGTTTGTGAGGTAGTGTACTGTCTCCGTGTCTGTTTGTGAGGTAGTGTACTGTCTCCGTGTCTGTTTGTGAGGTAATGTACTGTCTCCGTGTCTGTCTGTGAGGTAGTGTACTGTCTCCGTGTCTGTCTGTGAGGTAGTGTACTGTCTCCGTGTCTGTTTGTGAGGTAGTGTACTGTCTCCGTGTCTGTGAGGTAGTGTACTGTCTCCGTGTTTGTGAGGGGTAGTGAAGGGGGTGAGAAGTGGAAGCTGTAGAGAAAATGAGGAGGGAGAGAAGAAAGGAGGAAGGGAGAATAGATAAGGGAGCAGCAACATTCCTTTCAAACCCTACTAGAAAGTGTGTTACGGTGGGGTCATTATAACGGGGGTATGACGTCACTATTACGGCGGCATGACTTCATTACTGTGCCGTACAAGCAAAGATTAGTGCACCTGTCACTAGTTTACTGTTGTGCTTCCCTGTTCATGTCACCTCAACTGATACACACAAGCTGCGGAAAAAACACTTAGTACCACTTTTGTTAATTAGATTTGCCCCCGAGGAGGCTAGTTTATTGGGCACCCCCTTACATCCTGTGCAAGGTGAAGCTCAGAAGCGTTTACAGTACCCAACTGGGAAGCATGCGGAGTTCATGCTTGCCTTTATGACTCATGCATTAAGGGCGTGGAAGCTTGAAGGGTCATGGGTTTTGTCAGCAAGTTACATAAAGTGACAGAATGATGAGTGTGTGTGGGGAAAGGTGTTGGTAACAGCTGGGGACCTGTAGGAGGAGGTCATAGGGCGAGTGGGGATGTAGTGAGGGAGGGTGTGAGAGTCGGGTTGGCCACAAAGTTTACAAACAGTGCGGTGAGGCTCAGGGTTGCCATATGTACTCCCATAGGTAGGTACCTGTACCCTAGGCGCAGTCTCATGTATATAATCTGTTGAGATCGAGTCAGGGATTGATACTCTTTGTAGTGGTGGTTGTCGTCACCGGTTACAGCGTCATAGTGGCATAGTGTGACTCTACCCCGTTGTTTCAGGTGTGTCCAATTTTCGTCGAATGCCTCTCGTTGTGTGGCGTGTATGTGAGATTTGAGATGATTCGGGGAGAGGGTGAGAGTGGCTTCAATATCTTCTTCTTGTGTAACTTCTTTGGCAAGTCGATCAACAGAGTCACAGGCAGTTATTCCTATATGTGACGGGATCCAAATAAACTTGACACGGATGTCATCAGTTTGTTCTATCCCGGCAACTGCGGCTAAGGTGTGTTGGGTCTTTTGTTAATCTGTACACAAGTTGCTGAGTAAAATGGATTAGTATTGTACCAGCGGTCTCCTATAAACAAACCCGATGGACTGTTGTTTGTAAATAGATCGTCGTTTCAAGTCAATATACGGGTATGATAAAAAAAATATCCTCGGCATTATAATATAATTCGCCGTTTAAAACCTTCTCATTATTAACCCAACTAACGCTGTTTTTTCGTCACACACACACACACACATGAAGAATGAGAGCCTATAGCCAGCGCACTAAGACGAGGGTCAATCCAGGTAGAGGAATTAACCATTACTGAAGGATAAAGTGAGAGAGGCAGGGAGAGGATCACGACTAAGGTTATGGCGGTAATCGGCTTAAACCAAACCCCCATAACACCTCAGACCAAGCCTTGGGTATCTGTTTATTTGTCAATTTGCGGATTTATTCGTCTTTTCAAAGTACTGTATGAATCGTAGCCGAGGGAAAACCGTAAAAATGACATAATATAAATGTTAACCTAATTTTATCTGTGATTG